TATATATATATATATATATATATATATATATATATATATGCATTGAATGTTCAGGTATACTTGTATTGAATAACTAAAAACGGTCGATAACATCATCCTTCTTAAATCATCTCCGGGTCTCCTTTTATCTTTACGAAAATTTACCAATGGCCGACGATCTTCAATAATACCACGTCGATACAAGTTCTCATATGTGTTCTTATGTCTTTTGCGATAACTTCCCAGGTTTTATCGCAAAGTTTTACAATACAAATGGAAGCAATCAATACCTCGTGTTTCACACCGTTACTGATATCCGCCAAATCTAATCTGTGCATTTTCCCTTTTATGATCCAGAAAAGATATCCATTGTAAGGATCAACCTCAATGTGCGAAGGTTTGTTCAAAAATCCAGCTACAGCCACTGTCAATCCTCTGCCGTCTAGATTACACCTGGCTATTTGCCATATCGTCTTGGTATGTTTCACCTCTCCCAAAACGTACAGGTGACGATTCAGCCAGTCAACAGAAAGACTCAAGGGTTCAAAGTTCACTTGATCGGGACTTAAAATGATCTCGGGTTTGGATTTCTCGGTGATCGAAGTTCGATATACGTAACCGGCTGAAGTAGATACAAATAATTGAGAAGATGCCACGTGTATCGCGACACCGCGAATCTCAGTGTTATTGTTCTCATAAATAGACTTGGGCTCATCTAACATGTTCGTCTTCTGCTTCATGACCTCGTGCTTGCTACCAAGGATGAGAATCGGTTCTTGCGTGTCCTTGACTAGAATTTCCAAAAAAGATAATATTGTTTCAGATCGTTTCAAGAATGGTTATTTCCAAAATAAAAAGATGCATCACGCTGTAGATTGTGAATGCCGCATGTTACACATATTTTTCAGAGAAATATTTTTTCTGCGAAATATGTACAATATGCATTTACGAACAACGCACCAGCAGGCTCCGGCGTGGTAGATATACAAATAATCGCGGGTGGGCCCTCGCCGACTCCATTTCTCATGGTCACGCTGACGGTATAATTCTGGTTAGATTTTAAATTTCGAAACATGTAGTGATCACGCGTTGTGTTTTCAGACGCTGGAATATCCTGCGAATAGAATATAATATATATCGTATGGCTCTTGAGCATGCCACATTCTATCGAATCTTATTTTGGATCCCTTAGAAGATATGCGATTAGAAAAAAGAAACGCCATGCCAGAAACTTTCTTGATAAATAATCTGGTTCGTACAAGTCGCTCAACTAATGTTAGCGGCGTAATTGACGTGTCAAAGCAGCGAGCGTGCCTCCAAAGTGAGCATTCTCTGCGAATCGATACTAGTGCGAATGTTAATGCGTAAAATTAGAGAAGCGGAGTTCGAGAGGGGGTGGAGAGATTTATCAACTATTTTTCACTCTTTTTTTACGCGAAAAATTACACAAAGATGATTCGCAAAGCACATTCAAAGCTGTTATCACACCGCGCAGAGTAGAAAAACAATAAACAACAAGCACCAAAGTTACAAGAGTGTCGATGATAATATAATGTGTGCATCGCCACATATTACAACGCAATTTAAAATAATAATTAAAGCGATCCGTTAATGCGATTTATCGATAAAGCGAAGTAACGGAGTCTACCTTGTAGAACCAGTTGCATATCTCGCTTCTGTAAACGATAATTAGACAATGCAGCAAAGCGTGATGGCGCTAATGCGTCTCACGAATATGTGAAAATGTTCGAGATATTGTTGAGAATGCAGAATTGAGAAAAAAGAGAGAGAGAAAGAGGAGAAGCGTGAAAAAAAGAAAGTAAGAATAATAAAAAATTTATACAGAATATACATAAATTTGTGAGAAACAACGTGGTTTAGTGCAAGCGCCATAGTCAGCGCTTGGAATATACTACGATCGTAGATATAATTCTGGCGTGGCGTGTACCTTAATCTGAGTGTGGTTAGCCCTTTGCAGACGTAGGACATACGACAAAAGTGGCCCGTTCGGGAAAGGGCCCGGTTCCCAAGACACAGAGACGCGGTAGCTGTCTACTGCAGCAGCTCTTACAATTACCGGTGCTGATGTCGGTAGACCTTCCGCGCGCGTTAATATTACCACGCTCGGCGCTGAGACGATCGGTTCCGGATTGTGCTGCGACGACTTCAGGAGCATCGCTACGCGAAACTGCAAAGACCAGCGTTTGACAAAGGGCGATCGTAAGTCTCTCAGTCAAGTGCTTGCAAATTGATACTTTTTTCGTGCATATAGTTTATATTTTATGGAACTTCCATTAATACACGACGAATAAACGGTAACATCTTTTAAATCGTGATAAAATATGCGCCAAGTCAAGCGAAAATAAGAAAATAAAATATCTTTACTATTCGCAATAATCGTACTATTTATATGGCAATTTATATTATGGCACGTATATCACCATTCATTGCATTAAAAATTTATTAAATAAAAATAAAAAAATTGTGTACTTACCATATTATATGATAAATATATGAAAAATGACTAAATACTTTGATAATAGTTAAAGTCAATAATAGTTGTAAAATCTTTTGGTATTACTTACCAAACTATATATTTAAGTGATTCAACTAAATGAAGATTTAGTAATTATTTCATTTTACTAATAATCTCGTAATTATTACCAGAGGAGGTTATGATAACTATTTGCATATTTTATATATAAATTACGAAATATTATACTGAAATGCTCCATCAAATACTTTAATAACTTTTACAAGATTTTTTTCAGTGTACAGAATACAAGTGTTTACTGGCCTCTTTCTCTCATTCACCCTCACTTACCCTGTAATTAGTATACGGTTGCAAGTTCTCGACCAGTATCTGATCACCTTCACCCCACGTTTGGTTCCTGCAATACTGCCACGTCTCGGCTAGCTCTTCGTATCTCCATTGTACTAAGTATGAAATACCTTCGACGCGTCTCTTTATATCTACGCCTTTCCATTCGAGACTGAGCGATGTCGCCGTGAGTGAATCCGCGACCAATGCCGGTGCCGGTGGAGTCCCAATTTCCGCTATACGTGAAATTGTTATGGGATATTAAGTGCGGTAAATGAAACTATAAAAATTGCTATAACAATCAATGGGATCAATATTAAGTGATTCTCTTCGTCGTAATGATCAAAATTGCAAATGGGGACATAACTTGGCTGCATTTTCTGCTGATGGATTTTAATCGTAGATTTATAAAATAGACTGCGTCCCTCTTACAGGACAACTTATGACAAAATTAAAGAACAGAAATACGCGCTAAATCGAACACTTTATCTTACTGTACAGTTTAGGACAGGGTGATGTAAGAGAAAAAAAATACAATGAAATATAGTGAATGAAAGAGAGGACGTACTGCATCATGTGATCGCTTCTTTTCCTTCGTTCTCCTCACCAACCAAACAATTAAACGAAGAAAGGATCTTACTCTCTATCAGCCTCTCTTGCTAATGCTGACTTTATTCCTTCAGCAGACTTTCCTACAGCAACAATGTACAGTCTGTTCTATAGTGTATATTCTGAACCCTCTTTTATCGTTAAAAGAATTTCTCTAAAAGTAGCTTATAGCTTAATAGCAAATCAGAAGATGGCTTGTAAACCACTTTTAGAGAACCCTTTAACGATAGAAGACAGTTTAGAACATGGACTCCTATGATTTTAATCCTGTCTATCGATTTGAATCAGCGATGTCGCTTGATTCATGCTGCCATCTTTAAGACTGTTTGTAACATAAAACGAGTATTAGCTTTTGTATCAATAGTATATTGTATACGAAACAATGCACTATCGCACTGTCGAATGCAAAAACGTAAATGTCTTATATCATCTTAACCTACCATGCAAAGACATAGCGTTAAATTAGTCTTGTATATTCAACAGGCGATATGGTGGATACCGAGAGAGAACGAATGTTTAAGGAATACAATGAGATCTTGGATGGCCTAAAAAAAACGTTCGTGGAGAGATGGAAAATGAAAAAAGACGACAGCGCAACGCTGGAAGATTTTGAGCGTTTCCGTACTCTCGGCGCTGGTGCCTTCGGCCGTGTTATTCTCGTCAAGTATAAACCCACGTCCACGTATTACGCCATGAAGATCCTCGATAAGCGGAAACTCGTGAAAATGAAGCAGGTGGACCATACGCGTAACGAAAAACGTATCCTGCAGTGCGTCAACTTCCCCTTCATCGTTTTCATGGAGTTTTGCTTCAAGGCAAGCATCAATATAAAAAAAAAGAACAAAAAAATAAGGCAGACACTATTGATGAAAGACCTCGTATATTTTTGTTCGTGTAATGTTTCGGTCGAAAATAACCGTTCTTGCTTAGTAAAACTCGAAATATGTTCGTCATGTTGTCCCGAGTTAAAATTTTGCTAGAAAATATTTTTTATATGTCCATATAAAAAATACCATATTTGTAATATGGTCCTGACTTTTGACTTCGATATTCCGTTTAACGCCTACTTTAACATTCTGAAACCTATATCAAACTGTTTTAATACTACTTAACTTGTCTAAAAACTAAGTTTGTCGACAAATTCTCTTTAGAATCAATCAATTTTGTGCGTTTTCAAAAGAGATTAATATATGCTTCAGAATGTCAAAGTTTTGCATTGAATGAAATATTAAAGTTGAGAATAAGTTGAAAATTTGGACTAGAATAGATTGATATAGATTGTGTTTAGGACTGACCAGAGTTGACAAACCGAAACGATAATTGGTACAATGAAAGAGAAAATTCGGAAAAAAAGACATAGAATTTTTATCTCTTATGAAGGTAAACTTGACTTTCCAGCGACATCAATGCTCCAGGCAGAAATGTGCGAATTATTTGACACGTTTGTAGTTCATTTCAGTTTGTCGGCCCTGACGATATACAGAAAAAATAGACATGTAAACGTTTTCATGTCAATGAGTGTTGATCCGTGCTTCAAGGATAACTCCTACGTGTACATGGTACTACCGTTCGTGAATGGTGGCGAGATGTTCACCCACCTTAGGCGCATGGGAAAGTTCGACGAATCGTTGGCGAAATTCTACGCGGCTCAAGTGGCCTTGGCGCTAGAGTACCTACACCATTGCAGCTTGATATACCGAGACCTGAAGCCAGAAAACATCTTGATTCAGAGTTCGGGCTACATCAGGGTGACCGACTTTGGTTTCTGCAAAATGGTGGAAGGCCGCACGTGGACGTTGTGTGGTACGCCGGAGTATCTGGCGCCGGAGGTAATCTTGTCCAAGGGTTATGGCAAGTCCGTCGATTGGTGGAGTTTTGGTGTGCTGGTCTACGAAATGAACGCAGGATATCCGCCGTTTTACGCGCAAGATCCCATGAAAATCTACGAGAAGATTGTCGCGGGCAAGTATAAATTCGCGCATCATTTCGGCGAGGAGTTAAGGGACATTCTGAAGAACATCCTTCAGGTGGACCTAAGTAGAAGATATGGTAATCTCAAGGATGGCAGCATGGATATCAAACGGCATCGTTGGTTCCAGTCGATAGACTGGGTACAAATTTATCAGCAGAAAATACAGCCAAGCTACGTTCCTCGTTGCGGCAGTCTCGGCGACACCAGCAACTTTGATCATTACGACGAAGAACCGCTCGAAATTGACTCCATTGACTATTACAACAAAGAATTTGCTGATTTTTAGAGCTGTCGATTTAGCCATAAAGCCACGCGACTTATGGAGCGAATGGAGCGCCGAGTTTCTTAAAAGATTTTATGCATACTACGTTATGTTACATGTATATGAAACAGAGCGATATTATATCTATATGTAAGAGTTGATTTTTCAATAGTGTTTTAAATTTAGTTTGAACTGCATTCTAACAAAATGTATGATGTGTTTAAATAGGGTTTAAACTTCCAATTTCAAAGTTAAATTACTATTGAAAAATCAACCCTAAACATTTTATATCTAAGTCGGAACTAATTAGTTTCGTATAATAGTACATACAGAAACAAAGACTGAAATAGAATTAGAAATAGCGATAGAGGCAAAAATATACCCAAATAAGCACAAACTACTAAAAGATGTTTCAAGGATGTCCAAAAGACATCTAAAAGAAATAGGATATCTTGTGCAAGACATTGTATTTAAGATATTGCTCAATAATTTGTGCTGTCTGAACAGCTGCAGTTCAGAGAATGACCGTAAACCACAATATATAGAAATGTATTAAATTTTAATATTATATTCCATTTTTCACAAGTTAGTCAAAATATAGTTGTGTGCACACAAGAGAAACATTGAAGATTATGTTTGAAAAGACTATGTTGTTTTATATTTGTCATCTTAACATATTTATTGAAAAAAAACAATGATAAGTTGCCTGTTCCCTGATAAAATCTCCTATTGTATTTTTATGCTTGGTTAAACTAATATAAAAATTTAAAAAAATTCTTTACCTTTAAGCTGCTGGAAGTAACGATTTAACGCATCGTGACAGCCCAAAACGCAGTACAATTCCTTTGGCGGTAGCAATTCCTGTGTTCCATTCTGTCGACAGAATATCGAAATAATATTACGCGTTTATATTTAGAATTAGAAAAATATTATGTAAAAGAGCATGCGAGATACCGCATGTTGACAAGCGTCACTTTTACGTAAGTCTACAACCGATAAACCTCGTAAAAATAAAAATGGCAACAATACTAACGCAAACAGCTTGGCAGCTTGTGTCGAGCGCCTGTTGCCACGCTTCGCAGCCTTTTGTACACTGAAACAGTAAGTACAAAAGATAAAACAGCAATAGACGACATCACAATTTAATGTAATTCCAAGAAAAAGGCTAACTTTTTCGCAAACTGAGCTTCGGAGAGTTCATAATTGATTTAAATAAGATGCTGGTGCAAGAGTTAATTTTACGTTTATATTACATAATTTGATGAAATCTATACCAGCGGGATTTAAATCCCTTCTAAAGCGTTTCACGTTTTACGAAGGAGAAATTCTCAAATTTTTAGATTAATTTGTGTTATTTTAAACAATTAAAGTCTCTTGCATATTTATATATAATTCTACCGCTCCATCTTCCATGCGAAATACTTTGCGCAAGTCCCTCACAGAAAAGTATTAGTGGTAATAGTATTAGTGGTAAAAAAATAGTAGTGATTAATCACACTTCTCAGTGATTCAGTGATTATTTGGTAAATTATTATATATGGTACAATTTCTGTAAAATTTCCACAAATTAACCTATCAGAATTGAACAATCTAATGGTCGATTATTTTGTTTAAATAATAAAAAATTTCGTATGTTGCGTCGCTATGTGGTTTCGATCGGTCACCTATCCTTTTTCATTTCGGCTGCTTAAAAACTAAGTAATCGAACTCATGGCGCCAATAAGGTGTGTCGATACTTAATTAAATTATGATTATAATATGTATCGTTAAAACAACATTGAACGGCATATTTATTGACAAATGATACCAACAACGCAACGACAATCTAAATGCGACTGATACTGTTATAATCTGTATCAGGGAGCCCCATTAACGATATAATATTATTCTTAGATTTTTAATTAGATATTATAACGAACTAAGGCAAACAATAAATTAGATGGAAAAATATTAAACAATTCATACTAATCATGAGAAAGTTGATGCTTATCTATCCTATTATTAGGGAATGATTCACACCAGTACTTCATCAGAAAAACCTAATAATACATTAGCAATTATTGCCGTAATAATCCTGTAATTTAAATACTCAAAATCACTTGCCATTAGTAATAAAACAATTGAGCAATTTATTACTAACCGATTAGTAATAATTTTTTGTAAGTGGTACATCGTATTCGCGAAAAACCGTCTATCCAGTGCATCCTTCCGTCGAAGGTCGTCGAACATTTCACAATTCGCTAAAATATAATTCAGGAAGTGGGCGAACAATAGGTCACGTTATCTGGAACAACGTGACATAACTCGATATACTACCGCGAGCCGAGGAGAGGTGAGAGACGAGTCGAGGCTTGGCGAGGCGAGACGAGACGAGCAAGACGAAGCGAAGCAAAACTGTAATTTTTCGTGGTCGCGTCTGGTCGACGTGCGTGGCACGTGCCTCAAGTAACGCCCACGTTCATAAGACGCCCGTTGCGTGGCATGTCGAGCATGGATTTGCGAACAGAAGTTTAACGCATTAACTTTCCACGCGAGAGGATGTGGGCATTTGTCGCCGACAACACGTCGGCTGTAGTCGAGGACGCTTTTTTCTCTCTGTATAACTTCCATTGCACCACTGCACATCTCTGTTTATTCTGACGGCACGCAGTGTTCTTGATTTTTGTTAGAAAGATTGTACATCCAAGTATTTGTATCTTAAAAAATATTCTACTGTTTGATCAAATATAATAGATAAATCTACAATTTTTGTGTACAAAAGTGTACATGATACAAAAATTAATCTAACACACACACAATGCATAACAGATATTTCAATCATGTTTACCGTATCAAGATATTTAATTGTAAAATTATATTATGCAAGCATATGTGGAAACCCTATGATACAACAATTAAAATTGATACACTAGTAATATAATTTGACATACTAGTGTATAAGACAGAAATTAAAAAAAACTTGTAGTGATAATAAAATTAACATTTAAGTATATTTTAGCGAAATATCACATAAATTTATCGTCAAGTTAAAGAGAAATTCAGATCTTTCGATGAGAAAATTCGTGAAATCGACAATATATGAATAAAAATATGGCAAAATCACATACATGATAAGTTGGCACCAGATGCAAGATAACCTCATAATATCACACATTTCTATATTTATTTCTATATTTGATTTATTCATTTTAAATTAATATAATCACTCTTCCAAAATTCAAATTGAATAAAAATAATCATCGTGCTATCATTAAATAAAAATAATATAATAATAATTATAAATTTATTAACGAGTACATTTTATGCGGTAATATTCCTTTTCTTGCGATTGATATTAATAACAAATGAGTGTTTTACCTTTTTCTTGTGTGACTCTTAAAATATTTGATAACTTTCAAAATAAAGAAACGGCTACATATTGTGACATTTACGAACTTCATCTCACTAATATTTATTGCAAAACTATCTATTTAGGTACTTTATTAGCGATTTTATTAATAAAATACTGACTAATAAGAAAGTAGCGCTAGAGAGTGGATTGGAAATGCAAAAATCTGTTTACAATAATAAACAAAATAAATAATTAAAAACGAACAGCCATTAATCGCGCAACCTGATTGCTCAATTCGCACGATAATTTATTTATTTTTATAAACCTGTGAGTTTTCTCTCACGATACAGCGATATTACCGGATGCAAGAGTCGTTGAATTTTGAAAGAAAACATCAACGAAAAAAATGCATTCGGATGTAACTAGAAGTATAAATATACAGCAGTGACTCGGCTCGAGTGCCTCGAGTGCAGACTTTGATGAGTCTCTAAACGACTGAAACATTCCTAACGTCGTAGCCCTTTTCAAGCACTCCAGCTTGTACGGTTAAAAAAAAATTATCGTTCTCATCTCCTTTAATATCTCCTTCAATATTTCACGTGTAAATTGTCGATATAAAATCTGCTCATTTTCGTTGAATTAATATATACTGACAGAACTTCAAAAGAGATGCACAGATATATAGATGAAACTTGGTGAGAAGAGAAGAAAGGAGAATAAGCCAATACTGAAAATGCTTCGGAAAACAACAAAGTAATAGACTTCAAGTATCATCATTAACAAGTCAATAAAAAAATATCTGTCATCTTTACGTTTTGCCTCGCTGTCGCAATTCCATCGATCTTAATCGTAAATAAGAGTGATTGTTTCGCAGTAGTGCATGGTGGAAGGTCTATTTTAACGTCCGGAGTGATATGAGAGGTGCTATTTAACAATTGACGGACTGGTCGACACTCTGCTTAGTTCGAGAGGCGCCATGCATAAATAATAGCGCACGGTATTACGGAATATAACAACCGAATCGTATCGCGCGAGAAATACCGTTTCCTCCAACTACTGCGATGCATTGATTTTGCCAATGATAGCTAGTGAAGTCGCAAATTCATGCATTCCGAATATTCTGATGGATCAATGATATTTGTTTAGAAAATTGACAAAAGAAATATGCAGATTTTTCACCGATTTTCACTTCTCGATACATCATAGTACGTCCGTGACGTCAGGATTTGCGCAAGGCAAGTATTTACAAATTCATTAGACAAAGCAGGAACTATCTAAACATCAAATATACGTCATCTATATTTTTTCATAAAACAATAAAGGATTAAAGAGTAAACAGCAAATTTGTTGTGAGCATGAACTCTGATCGTTCTTCCGAGACGTGCGACGCGTCGTCGCTGGCAACAACTTGAGTTGTGTACAGCGTATAGCGGTGTACGAGGGTATCGCATAGGTCAACTCGTCTGAAAAGTCTATAACAGGAAAGGAATCTCTCCCTCCCTCCCTCCCGCCCTCACTCTCTCTCTCTCTCTTTCTCTCTCTCTCTCTCTCTCTCTCTCTCTCTCTCTCTTTCTCTC